AGTTTATGTTGATTTAAAATCAAAAACAAAATATATATATTTAATGTCAATTATGAATACTTCTATGAAAAAAAAACATATGTTTAATGTACTCTTAGTCGGTCGCAGTACAATAGTCGAACCTGTCTTTTAAAGAAAGAGCTTTCCCTGCTCGGTGCTGCACCAAACAGACAAAATTTTGAAGGCAGTAATTTTCTCAAGTGGGCGTCTATTGCACCCACCGAGTACTATGTTACCTATCTGCCTTCGGACTGCCCGAGCTAGACCTACTAAAATCCTCAGGGCAGTCACTTTTCCCAAAAACGTATTATGTTACAATCCACACCAATGAATCACGCTCTTTTTAATTTAGATTTAGTGTCGCGAATATCCGAGTTCGGACCTGTTTTGTTTTGGTCTGGTTCTTATTGAAAGGCAAGTTACCAGTGCAGTCACTGATCCCTAGCCTGTGTGCTAATAACCTTAATACCTCTCACTTTAGTCTTTCTTTCGCCTACCTAAGTCCTTTAATAAAATAATACCCCTCCGGGTTGGCACAAATAGGACCCTTCCGGACTGGCAGAATCTAGACCCCTCCTGATTGGGACCCCTCTGAGTTAGTTAATATAAGACCCCTCCGGATTTGGACCCCTCCGAATTAGCAACTATAAGACCCCTCCGGATTCGGACCCCTCCTAACTTTTAAAAAATTTGACCCCTCCGGATTGGGAAAAGTAGCTTTTCGGAGATTTCCTTCTTTCAACCTATACCCCTCCGGATACGTTCTCCGATGCAATTTTGCTCTTTCAATTAACTAGGAAGGGTATGCACTACTTTCCTAGACCCTTCCGGATTGAAGTTAAGCCTCTTATTTGACAATTCACACTAACGGTGAAGGGTCTTATCGCTCGCCTAACTTCGGCTCGCTTAAGCTTTTGCTGTGCCTTTGGCCTTCCCTTTTCGTCTAGAACAGCCTAAAGTTACTTTATTCAACCTTTATTACTTTTTGGTAGGGGTATAAGGGCTTTTCTAAAAAATTTTTGTAAAACGTGAAGGGTGTACCCTTCCAAATTGAGGAATTTGCTAAAAACAATCTCAAAAAAAATTCACGCTTACTTTTCCGAAAAACTTTTGTCCCTATCAGTAAGCTCAGCTAAGTTCTGATCTATTGGTACCAAGATCAACTCAATATGCCCAGTAGTTCCAAAGTTATTAACCAAAACGTCTTTTTTCTAAACTCAAAAATTTTTCTCTCTTATAGGTTCCGCCTAACTTTTTCCGCAAATCTGGTCCTTTCGACCTAAAATTTATTGATCCGAGCTCAAAAGGCCTATATTCTTCTAGTTCAATGCAAAAGACCCGATCTAAAACGCTTTTGCTGAAAAAATTTGCGAAAAACTATGCTACCTGTACCCCTCCGGATTGATGAATCCACCAAATCAAACACGTTAAGTTCGATTTCTCTGCAACCCGGAAGGCTTTCGGGTAGCGGGTTTTAAAACTTGTAGATTCACTAGTGGACGTTGTCCGAACAACTATTTTTACTGTTGTAACTCAAAAATTTCAAAAAATTTTCTAAATTTATAGTGTTTCGTTTTCTCAAAAATCACCAAATTTCGGTTCTCGGTACCAAAATAGTTCCAACCACTTTCGAACTAAACTTAACCGGTTCTCTCTGTTATGGTAGTGCAGTTACGATGTAACACACTAACTTAGCGCTTTTTTCCGTTCCAAAAAATATCGATATTTCAAAAATCGCGACTTGTGGGGGGATCAAAATATCGCTATTTTGACCCTAAAAACCGGTCTGTTTTCGTTGTTTTTGACTGAAAAACGATATAAGACTATTAATATAGGCTATATAAGTAATAATATTAGTAATACTATACCCCTCCGGGTTTGTTTAATATCCGAATTAAGGTGCTTAACTCGGATATTCGCAGTTCGGTGAAGGGTCACTACAGTGCAGCACTGTCGAGCCCCCCCACAGATTACTATCTTACTTTTTGTACCAAAAGGGATACAAAACTTGTTAACGATACCCAAAAGTCGATTGTTGTTGTCGTTGAGCGCCTTCTTGTTGCTCCCTGTACTGCTTGCCGGATCACTCTTCTCCCAAGACCCTTCCGAATTGAGCGCAAATCAGCTGACCCTTCCGGATTGAGCGCAATTTATCATTAACGTGCTTAAATGCTCAAATAACCCTACAGTACAAGCCTCACAAACGGGCTACAAACTGATCGTAACAATCCTGACTGATATAAATGCTTGCAACAACAATATATCTATCAACAACAAACGGGGGGGTCGGATCACATCTTGGTATACTTTTTTTTCGTATATTTTTTTTATGTTTTTTGTTTTTCTTGGGTACTATACTACTTTTTGTTTGGTTTTATATATATCCTTAAGTGTTTTTGGTCACAAACCTTTCAGGAGATGACGGGACCGCGAATCCCCCCACCCTTCCTGGTTCGTGAATTTTCGGTCTTAACTAAGTTAAAAAGCTATTCACGGTAATCCGGAAGATTTCCGCGTTCCGAACTACCCTTCCGCCCCGGCGGTTTAGGCCTATTAAGGGCGTTAATGTGAGCATCCACTCGGCGCGGAGTGCTCGTTAACGGTTCCGCCGGTCATGATGTTAAAAAGAATAACACCCAGGAGCGCCATAAAAACATCTATGTAACATTCGCCCGGAAGATACATATCGACGGAAGACAAAACTAGGTCTTAAGACGACTGGCTAACGTCTAAACAGAGCTTTGCATGCTTTTCACCGTCTCTACCAAGCCAGTACTTTTCGGTGGTCTTTCTAACATCGGGTCGACAAAAACGTTACTGCTTTCGGCTTCGGTCAAAACACTCAAGTTAACTAGATTACATGCAGAAATAGTGAGCTCATGGCTGGGTCTCAGTATCCCCAGACCACGAGGTCACTCCTAAAAACAGGGCTACTACTATTCATTATATTACTATTGTTTTTGTTCAGTAGATAAAAATCATCATCTCCATCGAAGATGGATCAACCCTTTCCCCCAACTCCTAGCTTCTCATCCTTATCAAAATGAATCTAGATGTTAATTAAATTCAAGTCAGGACATGACAGGAAGCTAAAAGTTTATGTAACAGGATAAAAGTTTCAGTTCCTTTACCCCTCCGGATTGACAAATCTGCTGGATCAAGCTTGTTAATCCTGATTTCTTCTTAATCCGGAAGGCCGTCTTTCACCCTTCACCGTTGTTCGCAACGGCCTTGCAACTATTGTAGCGGCACAATAGTTGCAACTCGGAGTGTTCTCTGTTACTCTGTAACTCGTTGTCGTTTTCCAATCTCGATTTCGTAGTTGTTGTTAGCGCAGCTAATGTTGTTCTGTCTCTCTTTCTTGTTTTAGCCAAAATGGCCTTTTCTGACGTTTCTCAGAAATATGACGTCATAATTCGAATTTTTGAAATTTTAAAATACCAGAATATTCCAGCCCTCACCGTTTGGCCAATCGTTCCAATAACGCTCCTAGTTCTCAACAATTACCAATCCGGAAGGCTCGCTGCTAAAAATTCGAATTCCGCAGAGATTGCATTTTCCACATTCTGGTCGAATGTCACACAATATCAAGTTATTAAAGATGTTGAAGCGCTGCATGTTAGTGAGCAGAATCTAGGACTCAACACGACGATTTTAGAAGCAGTGAACTGACATTAAAGCTAAGTTCCACAATTGAAACATTTAGGCTGAAACAACAAATAAATTAAAGGAAATGACTTAAAAGCGTAACAATAAATTTCATAACGAAAGTTTAAAATTAAGAAGTTGGGGGAAAAACAATTGAAAAAGTTTGGCGGGATATTTTAACTTGTTTGCATAATAGATGTTATATAACAATTTGAAAAATTATTTTTTTGAATCATGTGTTTGACACTTTTTATGATTTTTTATCATTCTGTTGACATTACTTAGATTTTTAAATCTGAAGATGTACTAACAATAGGCGAAAACGTGTCGTTCAATTCACAATTTAAACGTAAACGAAAAGCCCTCCTTAAGATCCATCTCTTGGTATGAATCAATATTGTTATCTTGTTATGAATAAAAGGTTCTCTGGTTTTTCATAATCTTGGTTGCTGAATTCTTTGTTAATCGCTTTTTCTTGGTTTCGCTCGTTCATTTGTTTTTGTTTTATGTGATTGGTTCCATAGTTCATATCTTCGCTTTTAACAGACTTTCTGGATTTTTTGAATTGCAACTATTTTTTAAGAAATTCCCGATCGAACTTGCTTTATCTTTCTCCTTGTCTTTCATTGATGCAATCAAATTTTCGATATATGTATTTTAAAGTAGATAGTTTTCAATCGCGTCCTTTTAAAGTTCGTTTTTAGTTCGTCGTTTAAATTTTTGAGGTCAATTTTGGCGATTCTAATCAGAAAATAACACTACAGCTTCAAAAGGAACCGTCTGTTTGCTAGAAAATTAAATTGGTTAATAAAAAAGTAAGGAATATAAGAAAAATATATAAGGAATGTGTTTACTTCACCAATCAAAGCTAGAAACGACGGGAAAAACGAATAACGGGACTTTCTCATTAATTAATTTTGTCCCTAACTCATACGTCTGAAAATACACAGGAAGTAAATTTGTTTAACGTCTATATAATAACTTTATCTGAACAATTAGGCTAACTTTTTTTTATGAGATCTCAATTTTTTTGGCCCCAAATTTAAATTACCGAATGCTCAAATTCAATGCCGCTTGGAACTAAGAATTTTTAATATATTTACACATAAAACAACCTGATTTGCTTTTTTGTTTTTCTAATTGTTAAACAATTTCAATGTTCGAAGTCTTTGATAGGTCTTGAGTGTCGTGCTGTTTTAATCTTATACTTGTAGTAGAGCAAGTGGTGCGAAGCCCAGCGTCGCCTCTGTTATGATTGTTTTGTATCGCAAATAGTGCGAAGCTCCGCTTCGCCTCTGTGTTGAACCTTCATTCTTTGCTCATTTTTATAAGTCAACCAATTTCAGGTAATAATGGCCCTCAGAATCCTAGGTGGAGTTGCCCGAAGGTCGAGTTTCCCACTTGTATCTTTGAATAGCAGAGCAGCTATGTCGGTCTACAAAGGTGGAGTTCCAACTCGAGATGAAGCTGCCACTGGAAAAGAAAGAGTACAACTGGAAGCGTTTAAAGCGGGAGAATTTGACCCTTTTGATAGGGAAGCACACTACATGAATGATTATTCGGAAGGAACAGGTCTAAGCAAAGATAAACCGATTGAGGTGTGCTCTAGCTATGATCGCAGAATTATTGGTTGTTCTTGCACTGTCTCGGAGAATTTCATTAGTTACATGTGGCTGTACAAGGGTGAACCTAAAAGATGTGTGTGCGGAGTTTGGTTCCAATTGAAGTATAAAGCAGCACCTCATGAAAGATATGTTCCTGAAGAAATGTTACCTCCAAAAGACGGGAAAATTGCGGATTTGGAATGAACTTCTCATTAACTTGAAATTAACTGGCCCACCAAGGAAATATATATGACTTGACAAAAACCACTAATAGACCTCAAAAGATCTTGCGTTCAACTTAGCCAATGAACATGGGGCTTTTGAGTGAGACTGGAAATTCGCGCTTTAGATCTGAGTATAACACTGTTACATATTTGATGCATTTAGAAACAATATTTGATCCAGTCTTGTTTGATATATGCATTAACGATGGGAACTGTTTTCTAGGAATTAAGATAAGTCCTCCTAGAGCGTTTTATTAGCGATTGGAAATTTTATAACATTTGCGCAACTCTTTGAGGTATAAATATAAATTATTACCACTATAAATCGGAGCCTAGTCTAATACTTCGAAATTTTTTTTTAATCCAAGCCGCTGATTTGAGTCAAGTCGCTAAAATAAAGAAGCTCGTTTAGTGGCACTCCCCAAGCATTGGCAATCTACTAGCATCCGTAGCTGCTTTATTCGCAACTAGTATTTTTTTCAAGCGACTATGGCGCAGAGAATCCTAGTCATTATCCTAGTCTTTATTTTCATTATTTGGTTCTTTCTTATTTCACTTTTCAGAGCTAATTTTTGCCGTTTTCTCGCTTGTGTTTGCGAAGTGAGCATCGCCTCTGTGTAGAATTTTTGATTGCCTGTCTATTGTTTTTGCTGGTTTCAAATCTTTTGCGTTTTTTGTCTGACGGGTTTCTGCTCTTGTAGTTTTGGCTTTGCTACCGCTTGAGATAAAACTCTGGCCCCACTAGAGCAATGAGACTATAAAGCAAAATTTTTTGAATGCTCACAATCAACTCCACATGGACTTCTTCAAAAAAAAATCATTAAAACCAAAAAAAAATGATATTTTTTGCTCACTAGTTCTTTTTTAACGGTAACGTCGTTCGAAGTCATCTTTGCTAGTCCGTGAACCATCATGCTTTTTAATTTTATATTTGTTTTATCGCATGTGGTGCGAAGCTCAGCTTCGCCTCGGTGTATACATTTGCAAAAGTTGCTAGCCAATGTACGAGTACACACTTTTCCAATCCAACTTGCATAAAATTATGCTCATTTTGGTGGTTGCATTTGCATAGAAAATTTAATATCTTTCTGGTAGTTCAATAGCATGTGTTCTCCGCTTTATCAGTGGCTAGTGTTTTTTTGATTTAGCGAGAAAATAGCACAGTTTTGTAGAGCGTCGACTTGGATTCTCGAGGCCAGTAGTTCGATTTTCGCAGAGGGCACTTAATTTTCAAAACGCATTATTTTTTTCTTTTTAAGAACTTTTTAAAGCTACTTCTTGGCGTTTTATGACTTGTGTTTGCAAAGTGCAGCGTCGCCTCTGTAATTATTTTGATCGTACTGTTACATTTAACCTAAACGTTTTTTATGTGATTTACATTTAGATATAGCCAAATTTTCTTCTTCATTAAACTGCCCTAAAATTTCAGCGTTTTTCATTTTCGCTTTTAATGAAGCGAAAAACTGGTTTATAATTTGATTGAGCTGCAATCAATTAGCTTTCAAAAAACAGAGATAAGTTTTTGAATTTCCACATTTTTTTTTCTTTTTGTTATATTTGATCGGAAATTTTGGTGCAACATGCTTAAGTTTCTATGCTGCAAGTTTTTTCGGTCCCCTTTAAAATGAGTGTATATTGGCGCCAAAGGCGCCTTTCAAAAATTTTAGGGTCTGTCGTCCTGGATGTCATAAAATAATAACTAAGGGGGCCTTTAAATGACGAGGGGTTACTACCCTGAAAGGGGGGAGGGGCGTCCTTTAATCCCACCACTCCTCTAAATCCACCCCTGACCATATTGCTTCGAAGAGCAAAAAATTTTTCTTATGCGAAGGCTAGTCTTACAAGAAAGTTTATCAGGAGGGTAGTATTGGTTCAGACGCTAGCTCAACGCTGGCAATTGCTTTCTTGACATGTTTGTTTTCTTCAATATGAACTGGGTTTAATCGAGAGAATTTTGTTTAGACTTTGCTATTTTTAGTTGTTGCATTATTTTCATTTAATTTTTTTGAGTTGGAGGCCTTCGTTTCTTTTTCTGTCGGCAAGCTCGCCTTGCTATTACTTATAAGTTTTGCAAAAAAATGTGTTGATTTTCGAAAAAACATTTCAGACAAATAGTTTGTTGTCTAGTTTTTTGTCTGCTTGTTTAATGAAAATTAATATTTGGCTCTTTTCCAGTTAATTTTGGTAAAATTACAAAATTAGGCTGCTCAAAAATTGTTCACACTGCATTTTGCATGTAAAAAATGTCATATTTTGTTCACTATGACACGTTTTGATGCAGTTTATAACATGAAAATATATTTTTAAATGGACTTTCACATATTGAATTTCAAAAAAATCATAGGTGGGAAGAGCCTAATATTTTACCGGATTGATTTTTTCATATTTTTTTGCAGATTTAACGAAATTTGAAAATTTAAACTCACATTTTTTAGACTTTGAGGCGAATTCTATGTTCTCTAGTAGATTCTGTGTATCTGTGAAAAAGATAGATACTGACCAAGGGCGGATCTAGGATTGTCTCGAGGGGGGTGGGCGTATTTTGTCGACCTTTTTTTAAATTTTGACAAAAGATGCCAAGAAATGCGTATTTAGGCACTTTTTTGGAAAACCTTGACCGAAAAAACGTGTTGTTTCGGCGTGCGCTTCCCCTCACAGTTATTATATATAGGCGCCTGTAGAAAATTTTAGGGTCCGTCAACCCCTCAAATCCGCACTTGTACTGACCCCTAGCGAAGTGGTCGGTGGATTGAATTTAGAATGCGCAAGAGTTTAATTGGAGGAAGATAAGTTCCTATGAATTGGATCAGTTTTTTTTTTCCAATTACATCTATCGTGGCTTGGTAGATGCAGAGGCGGATTCTAAATTCAATTTGAAATTGGCCCATGCAGGGGCGAATCGGAAATTTCGAAATGTTTTAGATCAGGGGTGGATTTATGGGGCGGGGTCCCCCCTGCTGGCCCAAAGGATCCTATTTTGGTACTATTTTGATATATCAATTTTTGGTGACAGACCCTAAAAATGTTCTTCAACTTTTGCCGGCATGTTCTTCAATCTTCAACATGTTTTTTCAACATTTTGCTTGCGGTGCAGAAAATTTGGGCAAAACATGTTCTTTTTAGTGCTTTGGGAGAGCTCGGAAAATCAATTTGGTCGGCCTAAAAAAAGAAAATCCCAGATCCGCCCCTGGGCAGATGATTATAATTTTATGGCAGAACGACCATAAGTCCAGCTAAGCACTTCGTTCCTGGATTTTTGAGTGTCGCGAAATTTCTTTTAAAAGATCGGCCAAATTGAAACTGAGATTTTGGTTATGAAGACGGAGCCATTTAGACTAAATAACTCAAAAAACATTTACAGATGACATTGGTCGAAATGTCTGGTATATTTGTCTGGGTATTTAGTCGGTCATGAGCATCTACGAATTGGTGAAATGTTATAATAGAACAGAAAGTCTTCCCTTTGTGTAGCGTAATTAGTAGTAATTTGCAATAACAATAACTAACATTGCTAACAAAAATGAAACGTTTCAGAGTTGATTTAATGGGTTATGTGAGGTATTTAACATACGGGATCCTTGGAACCGCGACGTTCGCTAGTGGCGCTCAAGTGAATCAGTATCTCCGTGCAGGGGATGAAAATTGGGACGAAAACTGGGACGGAAGAGCGGGTGCAAAAACGAAAGCTACGAGACATCTGTATCTTATTAGACATGGAAACTACTTGATCGACGCAGAGCTAAAAGACGAGAAGAAATTGACAGAACTTGGGATTAAACAACTCAATGAAACTGGAAAGTATCTGCAATCTCTGGGTTTGAATTATTCGGACGTGACGCATTCCACGTTGATAAGAGCCATTGAGTCTTGTAATATCATTTTGAATTACCTTCCGAAAGATATCCCCAAGAAGTTTGACGATGATTTGTGTGAAGGTTTGCCTTATGTTCCGATTCCCAGAAGACAGAGTCTTAGTGTTGCGAAAGATTACGATCGTATAGAGCGAGCCTTTAAAACCTATTTTCACCGTGCGGACCCTGAACAAAAATCAGACAGTCATGAAATCATAGTTTGTCATGCAAATGTCATCAGGTACTTTGTATGTCGAGCGTTGCAAGTTCCACCCGCGGCCTGGCTCAGAATGTCTTTGTTTCACGGAAGTGTAACCCACGTTAGCATTCGTCCAAATGGGCACGTGGGCGTGAACACATTAGGAGATATTGGATTTATGCCTAGACACTTGTTATCTAGATGAAATTGCCTTGTTGAAACCTGAAATCAATTTGTAAAATAGTTCTATACAATTTACGCCTTACTTAAATGTTATCTAATAATTGAAAGATTAAACGTTTTTAAGAGTCATGAGCGTACTCAATGCTCTTATATAGGTCTGAGCGATATTTTTCGCGGTGTCGTTTTTGACTTCTTTAAATTTCATTTCCCTTGTTAAAAGGAAGGCGAACTCAACTATCGATCAGCTAATGTGTAACAGTCACGAAAAACGTGATTGACTTCCAGTTTTGAAAGTGGGCGTTTGCGAAAGATTTCCCAGCGAAATAAAAAGTTTGTTTGATCCAGTTCTCTCTAATTAAGTTAATTTAATTTTAAAAATGTCAGTCATAAATTGTTCTTGAAAAGTAAAGAGCTTTATAGCTGTATATATTTTTTGATGTTCGAAAGTTGAATTTTTTTTTGCGAAAAGCAAGCCAGTATTTTTTTCTATTTGCTTGTGTTCATGACTCTTTCCAACTGTCTGTTGGCTATGTTTTCAGATTTAAAGTGTGGAAAGTTAAAACTAATGTTAAATTGTTTTCAGAGTAATTAAATGCGTGTTAAATTCTGGACCAATGTTGCTCTTGGTGTTGTTTTGTTAAGTGGAGTCACTCAAATTAGCTATTTGTTAAGTCAGTCATCAAATGATATCCTCCTAAGTCAATCAAATTGCAGCGAAGGTGACTGGAATGAAAATTGGGATGGAAGAGCGGGTCAGAAAAGCAAAGCTACAAGAGATCTTTATCTTATTAGACATGGAAACTACTTGATCGACGCAGAGCAAAAAGACGAAAAGATATTGACAGAACTTGGGATTAAACAACTCAATAAAACTGGAAAGTATCTGCAATCTCTGGGTTTGAATTATTCGGACGTGACGCATTCCACGTTAATAAGAGCCATTGAATCGTGCAGTATCATTTTGAATTATCTTCCGAAAGATATCACCAAGAAATTTGACGATGATTTGTGTGAAGGTTTGCCTTATGTTCCGATTCCCAGAAGACAGAGTCTAAGTGTTGCGAAAGACTACGACCGGATAGAGCGCGCTTTTAAAACCTATTTTCACCGTGCGGACACTGAACAAAAATCAGACAGTCATGAAATCATAGTTTGTCACGCAAATGTCATCAGGTACTTTGTATGTCGAGCGTTGCAAGTTCCACCCGCGGCCTGGCTCAGAATGTCTTTGTTTCACGGCAGCGTCACACAAATTTCGATTAGAGCAACTGGTCACGTGAGCTTGAAAAGGTTTAGCGATATCGGATTCATGCCGAGAAAAATGCAGACCTGGTAAAATGTTGGTTCCAAATTATTTTGAAAAGTTGTACATCAAAATTCTATCTGTAAAAATCTCTATTTTTGTACAAGTAAAAATTATTTTTCTACATTCGATTAAAACGAGTTAGAATACGATTTAGAGTTTGAATTCAAATGAGCATTTTAACTGACTTCGTTGTAGTCTGCCAAATAATTGTGTTTCTTTTCCAGCGAGATGAATCAGACTCATATTTGTTCTGCTGTTTCTAGATAATATGCTTCGAGTAGTTATTTAGAGTTCTTGAGAAATGAATTCATTAGACCAGAAAACCTGGCCATTATGTCCAAAATGCAGGTTGAAACAGCCTCGAGGGGGTTTCAGATGTCCACATTGCCAGTTAGAGAAAAATATGACATTCTGTTATAACATACAACTCATGGTACATCTTAGAGACACACATAATATAGAGGTTCCTGCATTTATTCCCTGTGAAATTTGTGGAAATCGATTCAATGATACAGATGAAGTTTTGCAACATATTCTAATAGACGCTCATGAGTGTGAGAGTGAACATTTGACTTGTTATTGCGAAGTTATGTACCAGTTTGACACTGAAGAGCATCTTGAAAAACACCAGATGTCGGCGCACCCTAAACAAGCTACGAAGTCGTCAAGCGTCAAAATAGAACCAGGCTCGGATTTTTCGAAAATACAAGGGGCTCTTTCATTGCAAACGCTTGCACCTATGAGTAGAATGTCGCCGTTTGTACAAAACTTAAGCCCACTTTTTTCACAAAATTTCATTATGCAATATCCGCATCTGCAGGCAAACGCCTTAAGTCTTCTGGGATCCCAAGGTCATACATTGGGTCATACACAGGCCATACATGGCTACCCTTTCCAATCACTTTTCCATGTCAATGTAAACACAAACTTCTACCCATCTGCTGGTCTTCCAGTACAACCTATACAGCGATTATCTATGCCATTGAATCTACAGACGAACAACTTGCACGCACAAGGTAATACTGTGCAAAATTTAAACCAGATTATGGAAGCTTTCAGAAAAGCTCCTGCTGCCTCATTAAAACCAATCCAAGAGTCGAAAAAGCTTTCATCATTAGAAATATCAAACAGGGCCGCCAAAATTTTAGTTGAGCGAGGCGACATCAGTGTCAAAATCGTGAGGGAATGTACATTGTGTGGTCTTAAAAAGTCGTTTGACAATTTCTTGAAGTTGGTTCAGTGTACATTTTGTCCGAAAACGTTCAGCTATTCCGAAGACCTAGGAGCACATTGCTTAGAGCGTCACGCAGAGAACATGCCATCTTTTACTGAACGAATTTTATGTCCTTCACAGAATTGCGATTATTTCCGAGAGTCGAAAAGTCCAAATTTTGCGACAGTGCTTCTGGATCATTACAAAACAGTGCATAAAGAGTCGGAATGTTCGTATCATCACATCTGCCCGCGAGCATCATGCCGCGGAATGTTCGGGACTCTTCAAGGAATGAACGCGCATGATTCGATATGCAAAGCAAACGTCTCAAAAATGACAGATGCGAGAAATTATTCCAAGTGCATTTCTTGCAATCTGACAATTTACCCCTTCAGTTTATGTGAATGTATAGAATGTAACCTATACATGGCCAATGAAGTCGACATATTGCTTCATATGAAGGATGTCCATAACATGAAAGATATTGAAGAAAAAAAAAAAAATTCAAGCTCCAAAATCTCTTGTCAGTTTCACTTCATTTGCAAGAAGCCAAGTTGTAATTCGATTTTCACGGAGTTCTCGGCCTTTCAAAATCACCTGAAGCTCTGTTTTCTTGGCTTTAGTTTACCGTTATATATGTTAGAAGGAAATCTGGTGCAGACGAGTATTCCGCGAAGTACTCAAGAAAAAATACTACAGGTCCGCGAAAACATGCAGCGTAAGCGTGCGAATGTCAACTCTGTTTCAGAATCGGAACAAGGCAATGATTCAGCCGAAGTTGAAAATGAGCTATCGAGCAGTTCGATTTCAACCGCAAAAACCTGGAAAAGATCGGTAGATAATGAGAAGGATTCGGATCGACACAGGAGAAAAACGGCAGCTCGATTTAGCGATGACGAAACATCGCGAAAATCTCACTCGCCTGAAATCGTGAAAATTAAACCGGAGTTTCTAGAAGAGGAAGAAAATTTCAATGAAAAGTTTGATCGCAATTCGAGAAAAGGTTCTATACAAAACAGGGAATCAATCTTTGATGGTAGTATACAGTTGGAATTGAGTGGTGGTTGTGGCCGCCAATCCTCAACTACAGAATTAATCGACCGAAATAATGAGGAGCATTTGACGTTGCTGGAACAGCCAGCCTCTTCCGCGGCTTGGGACGATGTAATGGATAACCTACTAGCTTACACTGATTCCCTAGAGCGCTAAAATTAAATAGCATTAAATGAATAGAAACGTTAAATGTTTCTGTTAATAGTTATTATTTTACTAAATTCCAAAATAGTTTGATTAGCATAAATTTGTTTTGTTTCTTAGTAATTATGGTAGACTTATCCTAATAACGAAAAGAGCTAACGGCGTTTTGGTTTGAGATTTAATATGATATCTTTAGCATTTGTTTCAGGTTGAAACCAACAACATCGAATCGACGTGAAAAAAAAAACTATTTGGCTTTTTCAGTGTGGAGCATCAATTTGTATCGTCGGGATTAAATATTTTTTGTTTCGACAGCTGTTTTACTGGACTTCGCTGCTGTATTTTGTTATCCTGACCTGCCCTTTTCGTCGCTTCGGAGGATATGCGACGGTTTTTTCAGATCTTTTTCACAATGTTTTCATTTAAGAACGAGATAACTAAATAACCTCTTTGTCGTATAGCTTTAAACAAATTTTTCAGATAGCGTCCTAAGTTTTTGAAGTAATTCTGACCTTTAAGCTGAAACTTATTAGAAATAGCTCTTTGAAGTTTCGCGTTTGCCTTTTGTCGTCGTTTTTTTCTTTCGTTCTTCTCTATTCAGAATTTGCGTGTAAGATTGCTGCTGAATGAAAGTTGTTCTGAAGTTAATGGCTTGAAATTAGATTTTAAAAAATGGTCTCTAAAAAGCGCAATCATTTTGTTTTGCTCTTTTGTCAGTTCAAAATTAATGTTAAAATTTTGTGGTAATTTCAACTCAAGGTCAGAGTTATTTCGGGAATTTAAGATGTTGTCCGAAAAGTTTGTTAGAAACTATGAAACTGCTTCAGAGCTAAACAATTTTTCTCGACAGGCTGTTCGATTGAAATTGCGATTGTTTTGACTCAATTTTTTTGCGAATAGATCACGCTATGAAAGAACTTCAAATTTTTCCAAATTTTAGCACTCATTAGCTTGCTTAAAAAAACTAATTTTTGTCTGTGGTTTTAAGCTACGAACTCAATGTGAAGTGTTTCAACGTTTTGACCTGCCCTTTTCGTCGCTTCGGAGGATATGCGACGGTTTTTTCAGATCTTTTTCACAATGTTTTCATTTAAGAACGAGATAACTAAATAACCTCTTTGTCGTATAGCTTTAAACAAATTTTTCAGATAGCGTCCTAAGTTTTTGAAGTAATTCTGACCTTTAAGCTGAAACTTATTAGAAATAGCTCTTTGAAGTTTCGCGTTTGCCTTTTGTCGTCGTTTTTTTCTTTCGTTCTTCTCTATTCAGAATTTGCGTGTAAGATTGCTGCTGAATGAAAGTTGTTCTGAAGTTAATGGCTTGAAATTAGATTTTAAAAAATGGTCTCTAAAAAGCGCAATCATTTTGTTTT